CCTCCTCCTCCTCCTCCTCCCCTCGCCCCGCTACCGCGCTGTGTCCCTCTTGCACAATTAGACAGTTTAAACAAGGGCAAAGATTTGCTCTATATAATGAAAAGTTTTTTAGAGCAGCCATCGGAGCTGACAAAATAATGTCGGTATTGCAACCACAGTCGAGCCTAGAACCAACAGGTAATTAGCAATGACTGGCTGCAAGCTTTCCATGTATTCAATATCTCAAAGAAAAAACAATCGAGAGAAGAATGAATGGTCACTGTTGTTCTGAGATCATACCTCTTTGTGTATGCAGGTTTGCAGAAAATAGTTTCCATGTAGAGGTCATAGTAGTTGCTCACTGAAATTGACAAACACATGCTGAGCGATTAAGCTAAGCTTTTCAAATATACATCATATCGGCGACTGTGTAGAACTGAACAAAAAATTTGAAATTTCAAATGTTGCTCTGCAATTTACCTTTGTAAAGAAAATCCCCAAGTGCTTTTGGGTTAATTGCTACCTTTTAGTGCAGCAAAAAAAAAATCATAAAATTTTTGTTTTTGATTCGCGGTTAGCGCTCTAAGTAAGTTAGAACATTTTTCAGCAAAACCTGAAGAAACAAAAAAGCAGTCAAAGAAGAAGAAGAAGGATGACGCGGCAGTAGCAGAAATGATGACTGCCAAAAGGTCTAGAAGGAAAGAAAAAGATAAGGAAGCAAAGGAGCTTATGACCATGAAGGTAAAACCATTGAAGAACCTTATGCTTGAATATAAAATGGATTAGCTGAAAATAGTTTTTAAACTTTAATTCTTGATAGATGTAAGTAGATTACAGCACCTTTGCGTTAAAGAAAGCACTGCGTGCTCTGACAAAGTGAATAAATAGGTTAGAAAAAATGGCAAGTGGACAATAAGCTGAATTGATACATCAGCGAATGGCCGAAATCCTTATGAGCACAAAAATATTATGTTCACTTTTTTTCAGCCGTTAACAGTGATGGTCACATCGCGTCCATCAAATCCACCAGGAGAGGAAGCACCTCCCCAACCAGCA